CATTATATTAGGAGGCCTCTGAAGATGTCATCTTCATTTATGTTCAGATATTATGACTCTTCATGCTAAGCTGCATAAAGATTGGTCTTAAAGTTTCATTTCTGTGGTAGTTATTTCCACCACACTGGTCTCTGTTGAAGAGTGCTTCCAACCTTTGTGAGTGTGACAGCTCATGCCAGTAGTGAACATGCACCACAAAAAGGGCACATTAGATACTTTAACTGACTGGTGGGTTGCCTTCTTGAGGTGTGAGTGGGTTTACAAGAGCCAGGGCACACAACACTTAACAGTAAACAAACTTTATTCCTGTTCTAATAACAGTAACTATATACACAATATTTATATACCAGTACAGAAGTGAAAGTTAACAATAATATTTCAAATCAAAGTATAACTATAATAAAGAACTGAAACCTTTATAAAGGGGAACAAGGTCATGGAAGGGGATTGACACCCAGGCTACTATACAGCTGCAACTAGAGCCAAACCAACAATAAACACAGCTCAGGGAGTGGAATAGCCCCAGCTGGAAAAAGCAGCACCTGTGTGCAGGGCCTCCCAGAGTTATCCCTCCAGACAGGGTATTTTTCATTCCTGGGGTCAGAGTAACAGTTCCCTAGCAGGACTGGGACACACAGCTGGGGGGGGGGGGGAATTTTCCAGACAGAAAAAGCAGCACCTGCATGCAGGGCCTCCTAGAATACCCCTCCAGATGGGACAACACCTAATTGTAGGAGTCAGGGGGGAGGGAAGGAGTTAAGCTTACATTCTGTGAAGTGCAGCACTCCTACCTGACAGGAGGGGGCAGGGGTGCAGGGCTTGTAGAGGGTCCCTCAGTGTCCTTGCACAACATCCCAGTCAAGGGGGGTGTTGGTGATGAAGTCCCATGGAATAACTGCTTCTGCTGCTCTAATGGGGGCCAGCTGCTGGAGCTGCTCAGTGTCTTCAGCTGGGGAAATGTGCCTGCAGGGGGCAGCTGGGCAACTTGAGAGCTCTGATAAGAGATGTCTCAGCCTCTTCTTCCCTGGCACATTGACCTTCAGCATTCACCCACCTGTCCTCATAACTTTAAACTCTAAATCTTCAGCACACACTTTTGCCTGAGGGTTTTTATAACTAGACTAATTGGGTATGTAGTCACCCAAGAGGA